TTCTAGCAATACACAGTGTGGATGAGAATATAAAACCATAGGATTCTCACACAGATCGGGGCTGGGTGGGAAAGGAAAGCCTGTTAGGAAACAACTTACATTACCTAGTAAAGCAGTGTGCACACTGAAATCCAAAGTGTCTGTTTTTAGGAGATGTACACACACACACACACACACACACACACACACACACAACATTGTATGCTAGGTGATCTTAAATTTCTGTTAAATGTGATAATTCTGAAGTATTTAAAACTGAAATGTCACAGTGTTCACAAGTTTAAATTGAGCTGATGAGAGAGAGAGAGAGAGAGAGAGAGAGAGAGAGAGAGAGAGAGATTTTAAAGGAAGTGAGCAGGCTCTCAGAAGAGTCTACTCAGTTGAATCATGGATCTGTCAATCACTGATTGCGATCTGAGGCATTTACTTCAGCCCTCCCTCCCTCCCTCCGTCTGTCTAACCATCTCTACAATGGAAGCAACAGTGATCAACACTCGAGAAAGGAGGTCATTAAATAAAGCAACTCAAGTGAAGTAGTTGAATCCTTTGTTATGGGCTTGCGATGGACTGCTTGGCTCTGTCGGCTCCAGTTTGCTGAGGAGTAAACAGATGCCAGAGGGGAAGTAACTTGTTGGAGGCTATAGCCAGCAGTTTATGGTGACAGCTGAAAGAACGGAGCTATGTCAAACAATAAGTTTGCAACACCCCGTCACCCAAGACAGGAAAATGATGCGGTTACCCTACGCATTGGCAGGAAGACCATTAAGCATTACATTAAGGGAGCTGAGTGTGGGGAGGGAAGAAAGCCCTAAATGTGTAAGGCTCTGAATGCTGTGACACGGGCACAGTGATGTTAGATGCATGGAGGAATGGCAAACCCTCCCCTACCCCAAAGAAACCTCCTTGCTCAGCTATACACATGAACCCTGTCTCTCTGCCAACCTCTCTATAATAAACATGCTGGGCTTCCGGGATGCTACAGTTTCCCCGTTCAAGATCCCAGACCACCCAACCCCAGCTTTTCTGTGCCTCCAAATGTAGCCATGGACTTTTCTACCCAGGCTCTTTGTTCCTGAATAACAACTCTAAGACTTAATTATTTATGAATAAATGAGCTTTGGCTCATTTACCAACTAGCTCATAACTTATATATTCCATTAATATACTCTGTCTTCCACATTGGTATTTACCTCTCCTCGGTTTGTCTGTCTCTTCCGAGCCCAGGGTGAAATCCTCTGCTCTCACTCTTTCCCAGGATTCCTATCTCTCTTGACTGGATGTCCCGCCTTCTACTCCCTGCCTCATCTAGTAGGCCGTCGGCTTTTTATTGACAAGTGATGCTTACACACAGTACATAAGAGATGCTCTCCACATCCATATGTCTCTGTGTTTGTTTTTTCTTCCTTCCCTTTACCACCCCAGACAGATTCAAGCCCTTGAAGGCCAAGCAAGGACTTGCAGCTGGGGACATATCTCATTCTATAGACTGCTTGCTCGGTAAACATGTAGATCCAAGTTCAAGCACTAAATGTACATAAAGGTCTGTAATGTGCTTGTAATCTCAATATTGGGGAGGCAGGGATAAGTGGGCCAGCCATCCTAACCTACTTGGCAAATTCTAAGCCAATGAGGAACCCTGTCACAAAGAAACAAGAAGGATGACATCTGAGGAATGCCAGCTGGCATTGCTCCACATGCACTGATACACATGTATGTGCCCCAGCACACACATGCACCTGTAGGTATCTGTGCACCCACACACAAAATAATGTAAAGGTTTTCATTGTATCCCAAAGGATATTAGCTGTTCCCGCAACAAAAGAACTGGTTAGGTCACTAAAATTACCGTGAAGGTAATCAAAAAGTGCTTTTATTTAGAACCAAATTGTCCTTCTTCAGTGCATTTCTGGTGAGAGTGGTGGAAATCGCTGTCTACATGTTTAACAAGCTGAATAAACCAAAGAAATGGCCTGGCTGTGATTGATCATCTACACAGTGTTTTTAAATGAATATTTAGTGATATGGTAAAATGTGCACAATATAATGTTACATTTAAAATTGAGGGTCTGGAGCTGGTAAGATGACTCAGCAGGTGAAATCACATGCCTTCAGGTCACATGACCTGAGCTTACTTGCACCCCTCCACACCCAAGTCCCACATGGTATTAAAAAGAACCGACTTCTGAAAGTTGTCCTCTGAACTCCACTGAATACAGACACACACACACACACACACACATATGCACACACACACCACACTTGCACACAAAACACAAAATAAAATGTAACAAAAATATTTTTATTTTTGTTTTGTGTTTGGGTTTTGTTGTTGTTTGGTTTGGTTTGGTTTTTCAAGGCAAGGTTTCTCTGTGTAGCCCTATGTGTGCTGGAACGTTCTCCATAGACCATGCCAGACTCCAACCCAGAATTTCTCCTGCCCCTGTCTCCCAAGTGCTGGGACTAAAGGCGTGCACCACCATACCTGGCATCAAAAAGTGTTTTAAAGTAGCAGCTAAAGCTTAAAATTCCAAAATCTTTCCAGTCCTGAACACAATGAGACAAGACAATGGATTCACACCAATCTTGTTTATGCTGGAGAAAAAGTCAGAGCAAACAACATCCATCAAGAGAAACTTCGATGTCTAGGCAGCAGATTTGCTGGCAGAGACTGAGTCGAAGGAGACAGTTCCTCTAACCAATAGAGCTATATAGAGAGATATAGTTATATGGATATATATAATGTATATGGGTATATATCATATACATATATAGGGATATATAAACATATACATGGATGGCTGTATCTTCAATTAATAAAATACAACTGCAATATGATACTGCACTATGCAGTATTTATAGGAAGATTGGAAACATTCAACTCAACACCACATGATGGATGTTTTGTGGGTTTGTATATAAGCATTGATTTTTTTTTAAAGAAAGACATTTATGTTTAATTATATAGCTCGGTGCGTAGACATGTGCCCATGTGAGTATAGTACCATCTGAGCCCAGAGTAGGGCAAAGCATCTCCTAAGAGCTCTGAAACAGAAGGAAGTACTCTTAACCACTGAGTCATCTCTTTAGCCCCATGACTGTTTTTTGTTTTTGATGCACAGAAATGATAAACTCTGAACACAGGTTAACAGTTATCTCTGAAAGGTGAGGAAAGGGACTGAATTTAGAAACAGTGGTTTGCCAGGCAGTGGTGGCACACACCTTTAGTTTCAGCACTTGGGAGACAGAGGCAGGTGATCTCTAAGTTTAGGGCCAGCCTGGTCTACAGAGTGATTTCCAGGACAGCCATGACTACACAGAAAAATCCTGTCTCAAAAAACAAACAAACAAACAAACAAACAAGACAAGAAAAGAAGGAAGAAAGAAAGAAAGAAAGAAAGAAAGAAAGAAAGAAAGAAAGAAAGAGAGAAAGAAAGGGAGGAAGGAAGGGGGCACATGGGGGCTTCAGTTACATCTGTAATACTTTATCTCTTGGGTAGAACACAGAAGAGATTTATTACACAATTCTCTGGAGGTTTTGTATGCCTGAAACATTTCAAAATAAAAAAGAAGTGTTTATAATGAAATCAACATTTTAAATCACTTGCCACTAGATACGCAATTCACTGAAGCATGAACTTTTAGGATACTTTTAGATTTATTTTTGTTTTTGTGTTCATGAACCTGCATGAACTTACATGTACCGTGTGCACAGGTGTGTAGGCGCCTGTGGGTGCCGAATCCCCTGAAGCTGCAGTTTCAAGTACTTGTGAGCCAACAATTGTATGCTGGGAACTGATCTTGGTCCTCTGGAAAAGCAGCAAGTGCTCCTACCCACTAAACTCTGGTCCCTGAAATACTTAGAAGAAAAAAAAATGCAGCTTTACTTTGCCCGAAACTCATGATTTCCAAAAGAAAAAACTTAATTTCTATACAATAAAAATGATTTCCAGTGCAAATATTTTATTATAATCATTTGCAGTGGAAGGAAAATTAGGACATGTTCTCCCCTCCCTCCAAAATACGTTATCGTTAAATCGGAGAGATAAAGGAAGACATTTACTCTGTAAAAGGCAGTAGTGACCAGTTTATTCCGACACCAGATCCCAAGTGCTGAGAGAAGTCAGCGCTTCCACGGAGCCTTGGTATGGCAGATTGGCTCTGGCAGTTACACATTTGCACATGGTTAACCGGTTTCGTCAGTGAAATGGATTGAAACTTGCTTAAAAGTAGGAAAGGAAAACATTTGGTGCATTCCACACTTGCCCTTAAGTATACTGTACCTTCAAATCATGCTGCTTCTTGCATTCCACAGAGCTGCGAAACACCCTTTAAACTGTCTACATAAATCACTCCATCCTCTGTGTAGCAGGGTTTTTCTCTTCCTGGACAAAAAAAAAAAAAAAAAAAAAGAGGCCATCTGTCCCCAAAGGGCTACACTCCAGGATGAGGATCCCTGCCCAGACAGGACCTCATGCAGGTGTTACAAGGTCTCCATTCTGTCTGAAAGCCTGGATCGTTAACTTGCCACCCACCTGCCACAATCCCTGAATTAAAAGCTGTATCTTTAAAATCTGGGACTTTCTATCTCCTCACGGCAACTAGCAATGGTTCCGGTGTTTGGGAATGCGGGATTGCATGGAGCTAAAAAGATCGCCAAGAAGGCGAACACAGTAACCAATACTGACATTAATAAGGACCTGAAAGCAAGCACGCGCCTCCTGGTAAACAGCCTTCTCCAGGAAAGTCCTCAATGGGCTTCCTGCAACTCACACATTCCCCTTAGCTCTTCCAGAACTGGTGACTTGTCGACAGGCACACACCCTAGGGAAGACCCATGCCACGTTCTGGAGTTTTGAATGTTTCCTTTGCAGAGAAACCACCAGGCCTGCGAGGGGCGGGCTCTGGCAGGAAAGGCCTTGCAGCAACTCACCTCTCCCCGCCTAGCCTGCTGCTCCTGCTGGAGGAGGTGCAGGGGACAAGCGAAACTAGTTCATGTGTCAGCTCCCCCAGGGATTTGGCAGCAGAGCTCACACAGGCACGGAAACAGGGGCATCTGCACCACACTTCCTTCCTCCTTACGTGGTCACTGCAGATCTGCATACAAAGGTGATTTTCTCTCTCTGTCTCTCTCTCTGTCTCTCTCTCTGTCTCTCTCTGTCTCTCTCTCTGTCTCTCTCTCTGTCTCTCTCTCTCTGTCTCTCTCTCTCCGTCTCTCTCTCTCTCTCTCTGTCTGTCTCTCTCTGTCTCTCTCTCTCTCTCTCTCTCTCTCTCTCTCTCTCTCTCTCTCTCT